GCGAAACCCAGCCTGCTCTTCAAGCATAGTGTACAATCGGCGGGGAATGACGGACGCCAACAGCTTTGACGCTATTGGGATTGATCGAGTGGCGCAGTCCCTGCACGGGCCCTTTTTAAAGATGGGGACGACAAACGGTTCCCCTCACGAGCAGGGGACCTGCTCAGTGTTCGAAACTTTGGAGAACAGAACTTGTAGTTCTCTAACAAGCTTTACTTCGCTATATTTAAATAAAGCTAGGGAAAGGCCATCGAAGCCGGGCGTTTTCTGACGTCTCAAGGCTTGGGTCTTCTTATGGATTTCCGTTTCAGAAGGTGTGCCTGTTGAGACAGACCATGGGACAGGCGCTGGAATAGCTGCATGAAAAGCTGACGCTGTTGGCCAGCTAAATTGTGCTTTGAAGTGCTCCGCCCAGCGTTCAATTCGTCGCTGTTGATTATAAATGGGCGAACCGTCAGTTTTGCAGGTCGTTTCGCTCACATCCAAGGCTTTCCTAACGGTGACCCGGATGAGATGGAACAGCTTACGGGAGTTTCCCATGGTGGCAGCACGTTCTATCTCTGATGCGCGTTGAGTCCACCAGATCTCGAGATCTCTGCATGGGCTTGCATTAAGTTTCATTATGCTCGCTGCCGGTCGGAATTAACCGACGTGCCTCAAGAAGATGTAGAGACTCCACAGAGATCCAGGATGTCACGGCGCAACGTTTTAGACCACAACTAACTTAGCCAGCAGAATGCAATGCGATGCAAGAGGGTAGTGGTCAGTTACGGGTCATTAGAGGTCGATGTGGATTTGGATACTGAATTTCTTTCCACTTCGGGAGAGCGTAAACGTTTCGAGAGATTCCTGGTGACGAACCGAATTAGGTCACTTACACATACCAATAATGATGTCACTAAGCAAGAAACCCGGAGAATAATCTACCATCGTCATCCGAACGATCAATATTTGATCGCATTTTATGCGACACGTTCTATAACTCGTTTATTGACCGGCGTGGATTTGAACTAATGTTTCATCTAGACCTGATCTATTTCTGTCTCATCTATCGCAATGCAGGAGTGAATCTTCCTATCCATTTTAGGAGTGTCTATCTACAAGCTATGTTACTCTTTAGACCATTCAATCCAAGCTCAGCTGTTAAGATCGCTAGCGTGCTCCGAACTTCAAGGCCCATGGTTCGATAGTCAACGATCCCCTGGCTCACCATCAATCTTATTCTCTTGGATCCTCGGAGTTTAGTTTACTTTTTCCCTCCTTTGAGCGATAGGTTTTCATGGTCATATGGTCTATCTCATTTGCTTCTGCTGTATTTCCCCAAGTTGAGTGCCAGCTAAAGAAATTGTTCATTAAAAAAGAAGAAATTTACGAAGCGTAATTCGGATAAGGTAAAAACAAAGCTCGTGATTTGGAGCACAGCAATGATTTCTCATGAACAGCAACAGTGTAATGACGAATCCACTTTTTTCGTAGCGTAACTTGGAACTCATTTTTCTGTCGCTTTGAGGTGTCTTGAAAAACTGAGCTCAGTGTAGATTAGTCATAAACAATGCTAGTACTGGTGATCACACACAAACTAGTGCTTAATAAGAAATGCGAAGAGTTCGAACTTCAAACTCTGGGCCGCTCGTTAGATGTGCACTACCACTGGTGGGCTAAACTCGGCTCTCGTACTCCTCGAGTGAATAGCTGATTGCCAGAACTGTTGATTGCTCGTGATAATGATGAAAGTCAAAATTAATCACGATTGTCCCATTCCACTTCTCACATCATCATCGTACAGCGAAATACAGTGAGGTGAACTTCAACGATCGCTGCCGAACTCGCAATGTATGCAAGGTTAGTGGTAAAACTCAAGGTGGACAGGAATTGGATCTATTTCAAAGGAAGGTAGAAGAAGGTGAACCTCAATGGTCAACACACAAAGTACACAATCGAACACTGCATACATATCGTTTCAAGCGATCTGACCTGATAAAAATGACAATAAGAACTCCACTAATAGCGGTTCGTTGCCATATCCTTCACTGTCTCCAACCAATCAGTTGCAGAGTCTTTCGGACCGCAACGTGGAAGGCACGAGACATTTACTCTATTCTGTGCATTTCTTCATGCCTCGTCTCCGAGTTATCTGTTGACCTCCACATGGTTTCCTTCCGACCAGAGTGGCTACAGTGAATAAGCCACGATGTGGTACACGGTAGCTGGGTGTACGCAATATGTGCCCTAGCCAGCGAAGTCTACTAATCTGAATTCGATGTGCTAGCAGGTTTATACCTGATAGACTT